ACTACCCTTTTATCTACTGCTCCTAGAAATGACTTCATTGAGCCGACTCTCCTCTCGCCCCGCCACAGGCTGTTTTCAAAGCCCGAGCCACCCGGCTTCGCTTCATTAGCGTCTTTGTTTGTGTACCAGCATCATTGATGATATCAGTTATAGCTCTGGGAGTTTGGTTTGTTCATACATTAGCCGTCATTAGGAACAAACAGCAAACAGCTTTTCTCGGGAGCAAAGCCCATTTCTGCCCTGACAGAGCCTAAGAAACAGAGTTCCTTCTAGGTACTCTTTATGCCTGACACCAGGCTTTCTCTTACACCAGCTCCGTTATATTCTCCTGAGCTGGGGTGATGAATCCTTACACCAGTGGAGAAAAGGTTGTTTATAAGATTCACAAGCAGGATGCTTCTCACTACCAGGACCTAGGAAGTCCCGGACTTACCATTGTGTGACTCCGATGGATCACGTTGTTACATCGTGGACAATCTTATCTGTGGCATCCTGAGACTAAGTGAAGTCTTGGTTGTCAACATTTCAATTCACCCAGTGAAATTTTTTTTAAGTATGTATTTTAAGAAAGATCTTTGATCTGCTATCTAATCACTGATGGATTGTGACAATGAAAATCAAACCACTCTCTTGCTAACATTTGAGGGCTGTAATTAAGCATAATTCTAAGTAATGATTACTTTCTTGAGGGAATTTCCTGTGGTTTTATTTGAGTGCCGACAGACCAGCTTCTGAGGAGTTTAAGACCTTGGATATGCCATCACTGAGTCAAGCCCTGCACCCCATTTGTTTCCCCAGTCACCTAAAGGTCATCACATTGCCAGGTGATTCATCGATTCCTGAATTGTCAGTCCTTTCTACCAACTAACCCTTATTTGCTTTCTATTTGCTTGATTTCTTAAGCTAAGACCACTGATAAACCAAAAATGGCTCCAAAACAGCAGATTCCATGAAATACACAGAGACATGGCCGCATATCTACTCCCTGTCTTTCCAGTATATTTTTCATCATCTGTAAATGGTGATGGAACACTTTATCTGTGATCTGAACTGTCCTATTAATAAGTGACCAAAAGGATTAGCCATGTTTTTGTAGTCTGATGTCTCCTATACCATAATAATGACAGGAACAAGTCTTCCTTCTGCCAACAGACCACATCTGTTTGAACTCTTCCTTCTGTGTGGTCCACGCAGATCACTGTGCCTGGTGTGGAAGAAGTCCTTCGGGAGCACATTCCCAGATCTAGGGGAAAGCCCGATGCCATGCAGAACTCTCTTTGCGATTTACCAGTTGCTGGAGTAGCTCCCTTCCCCATGAAGAAGCTGGTGCTTAAGGACAAGCAATGTTTGTGTTCTCTGTCACAATATCACACCCTGGTGGGTGTGATGTCTGCCACTAATTTGCAGATTTGTCTTTCCCTGCAAGGCTTGATTTTCTGAGGTTATCTGATGCATCCTAGATTTGATGTCGACAATTCAGCTGAGCTACCAGCAGGCAAAGGTGGTCTAGACCAGGACTTAGCAAACTTCTGCAAAGAGGGATAGTAAATATTTTCAGCTTTGTGGGATATATGGTTTCTGTTACAACTACTCAGTTCTGCCATTGTAGTGCAAAAGTGTCTACAGATAATGAGTGTGGCTGTGTTGCAATTAATTTTATTTACAAGAATAGGCAGTGGGCTAAATCTGGCCCCTGGTATACATACAACATGTCAGTCCCCGCTCTATAAGAGTTGTCTCTAAGTTTTTTAATTGTGTGTGCTATCCATTAAAACAAAACACTTTTAAGTTTATATCCCCTACAGCATTCATATGAATAGAACTTTAAAAAAAATCAATATAGGGGCATCTGGGTGGCTCAGTCGATTGAGTGCCCAGCTTCAGGTCAGATCATGATCTCAGGGTTCAGAGTTCAAGCCCCATCTGGCTCAATGCTACCAGTGTGGACCTTGCTTCAGATTTTATGTCCTCTCTTCCTGTCCCTCCCCTGCTTGCACTCTCTCTCTCTCTCTCTCTCAAAATTAAAAATAAACATTAGGGGCGCCTGGGTGGCTCAGTCGATTGAGTGGCCGGCTTCGGCTCAGGTCATGATCTCGCGATCCGTGAGTTCGAGCCCCGCGTAGGACTCTGTGCTGACCACTCAGAGCCTGGAGCCTGCTTCTGATTCTGTGCCTCCCTCTCTCTCTGCTCCTCCCCCACTCATGCTCTGTCTCTCTCTCTCTCTCTCTCTCTCTCCCTCAAAAATAAATTAAAACATTAAAAAAAATTTTTAAAGATAAACATTAAAAAATGTGATAGAGATGCTATAATGCTTTCAAGTATAATTTTTATTATAACTTCTTATTATCACTACTTAAGAGTTAAGAAGCAAAAGATTTAAGATTTTTAAGATTTAAGATTTAAAAGTGCAATACATACCATGGTCTAGGTTCCCAGTTAGTGACAGTGGATTTAAACTCCTAATTCAAACAGTCTTCTTGATAATTTCAAAATTTTTTGGCTAACTTGTTAGACCCAACTACATCTTAGTCTTATCTTGTAATGTTGCTGACAAAGAATTCAAACTATGTCATATTTTAACAGACTCATATTGTTTGCTCTGTACTAGGCACTGTCCTGAGTGTTTAAAAAATATTAACATATTTAATTTTCATAAAAACCCTGTTGGGTGTGTACTCTAATTACCCCCTTTTCACATGTTTGAAACTGAAACATAGAGAGGTTAGGTAACTTGTTCAAAGCTACGCGATTCTAGGTGGCTGGCCCCAGAATCCTTATTCCTATCTACTGAACTCACCTGCCTCTCCCACTTTCTCCTATGCCCTTCTACTTTTACTACTGCAAGCAAAATTCAGTCTACGCTTTCTTTTCAGGGGTATTTTAAGTTCCTTGTCTATTTAGGGTAAGCAACTTAAGGGAAAACTAGGTAATGTGGTCACTGTTATGGGCTACACACTGAGTTCCCCCAATACAGTCAAGTCCTACCCCCCAGTATGTATAAATGTAAACCTCTTTGGAAATTGGGCCATTGTAGATGTATTTAGTTAAGGAAAGGCCATGCTGGAGTAGGGTGGGTCCTTATTCCAATAGTCTGGGGTCCTTAGAAGAGAAGGGACACAGACACACCGGGAGAAGAGAGCTGGTGACAATGGAGGTGGAGATTGAAGCGATGAAGCTACCAGCCAAGAGACAGAAGGGCTGCCAACAAGGAAGAGAATCTGGAAGAGGCAAAGAAGGGTCAGAGGCAGAATGACCCTGCTGACATTTTGATTTTGGATTTTAGCCAGCAGAAGTATGAGACAATAAATCTCTGTTGTGTCAAGCCACCTAGCTTGTGGCTTTGTTACGGCAGCCCTAGGAAATGGATACTCTCATCATGTCCGAAACTAATGGAATGTCCCCTTTGTGCACCAGTAACCCAACGTGCCGCTTCTCCGAAGTTCTTTTCTCAAGTAATAGCATTTTAGTTTACAATCTTCTCGATCATACAAGCTAGAAACTCATCCTTCACACCATACGAGCCACCAAATTGTGTTAACTCTATCCCCTCCTTCAACTTAACATCTTGGCCATTATATCAACTTCCAGAGCAATTTTTTTCTTCACTTTTTTTTTTTGAGAGAGAGAGAGAGAGAGAGAGAGAGAGAGAGAGAGAGAGAGAGAATCCCAAGCAGACTCTGCAATGTCAGCACAGAGCCCCATAAAGGGCTCAATCTCATGAACCATGAGATTATGACCTGAGCTGAAATCAAGGATCAGATACTCTACCCACTGAGCCACCCAGGTGCCCCTCTTCACCTTTCTGGATTTTTAAAATTAATTTATTTATTTTGAGAAAAGCAGAGAGAGTGTGAGTGCACTGTTAGCCCAGAGCCTGGTTTGGGCCTCGAACCCATGAAGCTGTGAGACCATGACCTGAGCCGAAACCAAGAGTCAGACCCTTAACTGACTGAGCCACCCAGGTGCCCCTCCTCTTTCCCTTTCTTATATTTCCAATGAATTCTTATATCTGCTACGATGATCTATCTTATTAAAGAACTTACAGTAACAATAGCTACCCTTTACTGAGAGATTCCCTTGCACCTGGAAGTAGGTTAAGCTCTTTCACATGTATTTGACCTTCACATTAGGTGGTGACAACTATCATCTTCATTTTAGGAATGCAAAAAGTGGTGCCCAAGTTTGCGAGTTTATCACATGTCAGAGCTGGAATTTCGAGGCTTACTCACTCTGCCATTCTCCTTGTAATACACCACCGCACCTCCTTAAGATGGGAAATACTGGAATGGCATTCAGGCCAAGCCTAAGCTATGTCTCCAGGCTTATTTCCCTGCACCTTCCTCTACAACCCTCTGCCCCAGGCACACCAGGTGACTCATCATTCCCTGGACATGTGGATTCACTTTCCTGCCCTTATGGCTTTGGCTATGCCTTTCCCTCAGTCTAAACATCCAACACTACCCACAGCCCTTTGCCAATGCTAACCTTACCGATGGCTTCTTTCTCCAGCACACTAAGTCAGAATTACCTGTCCCTTCCACTGGATTGCCTGCTTCGGCAATTTACATGCTAGCTATTTACATGTATCTTTCTCCTGTGGTCTCAGTGGCCTCCATTCAAAGACTAGGTCATTTAATTCTGTCATTGTTTTCATCCCATTTTTATAACAGTGCCTAAGTAACTGTTGGTCTGAATGGCTAATAACGGCAGTAGTAATCATAATGGCAATGTTAGCAAGTCTTTGCTAGCCATTAATACTCAACAGTTTCAGTGGTGCCTGGGTGGCTCAGTCGATTGAGCGTTGGACTTTGCCTGAGGTCATGATCTCACCATCTGTGGGTTTAAACCCCATGTTGGGCTCCATGCTAACGGCTCAGAGCCTGGAGCCTACTTTAGATTCTGTGTCTCTTTCTCTCTCTCTGCCCTCCCCCACTCGTGTCTGTCTGTCTGTCTCTCTCTCAAAAATAAATAAACATGAAAAAAATACTCAACAGTTTCAGTCATGTTTGAAAAATACAGTTTTTAAATTAAAAACATTGTAACAGTTTTTCTTTTCCCACAACTGAAATTTCTTAATCTGTTCACCTATTTTGATGGAATATGAGAAGCTTCACTTGAAATACTGATCCATTTCTATCCAGTCTGATGATCTGTGTGATAGATTCATTTATTATGTGGTAACATCAAAATCTGTCCAGTCTTCTGCAGAAATGAAATGCTCCTGAAATTGGGGGGAGGGAGGATGGATATCCAATTTGTTTCCTACTCTGCAGAAGATATTTCCTTCGTTCCTGGATCTTGAAGCAGGTCTGCTCTGTGAGTGATTTTAGGTCATGTCCCAGCTGGTTTGGACCTAACCTAGGACTCAGTTACATTTCATGATTGGGGATCCAACTCAGTTGAAAACAGTTCATGCACCTCACTGCTTCCACTGTCCCAGCAGCTTAATCCCAGCCTTCAATTATGGTGGAGGCTCAGAGAACTGACATAAGATCAAATTGCATGCTTCTGAGCACACGGAAGGAACCCAGAGAAGAAAACAGAGAAGAAACTAAATGAGCCCCGTGGGAGATCAACCCTGAGTGGACATTCTGGCAAAATGGCAGAGTAACTTTCTGCTTAAATAAGAAACTATTTATTTTTTTTTTTTAATTTTTTTTAAAAAAATTTTTTTTTCAACGTTTATTTATTTTTGGGACAGAGAGAGACAGAGCATGAACGGGGGAGGGGCAGAGAGAGAGGGAGACACAGAATCGGAAACAGGCTCCAGGCTCCAAGCCATCAGCCCAGACGGGGCTCGAACTCACAGACCGCGAGATCGTGACCTGGCTGAAGTCGGACGCTCAACCGACTGCGCCACCCAGGCGCCCCAATAAGAAACTATTTAGAAGTCAGTTACGTGTGAATGATTAACAAAAATAGTTGTCAGTGCGGGTGCCTTCATAAAGAACAGACTGCAGAAAATGATTGGGAAATAATTAAAACAGTATATCGCACAGAGAAATGTTATTCAAAAAGCCTCTCGGGTTCTTTAATTTTTTTCCAGGCGCGAAAAACATCCCTGTTTCTGCCCATAATTTGAAATATCTAGAATGTTGAATTTATCGACAGAAAGTGTACTTACCATCTAATCAGAGAAATCTTAGAGGGAAAAGAGTACTGTACACATCATAGGTCCCCTAGAGACTCAACTGCTCATAACTCTGCATGAATGGGGGGAAAGTGCCATATTCCCATTAAAGAGCAACACAGTTGGTTAAAGAATGAACAAAAAGCAGCATTTCTTCATTAGTGTCATTGCAGGAAGCTGATGCTCTGAAAGCTGGAGGCCATCAAATGGGATATTGCAGCAATAAAACAGAATGAAAAAATGAAATGCTCCATTCTCTTGTCAATCTCATATGCTTGTCTCTTTCTTGTTAATATACCAGGCGCTACCCTGGTAAGCTAATGCGTATTTCCAGTTTCGTTTTGTGCTTGGTAATTGTGCTATGGGCACTTATTCATTTGACGGAATTTGCTTTAAATGAAGGAAACTGGCAGGTTGGAAGAAAAAAACCCCAATGTTGCCAAATCACCAATTAAGGAAACTGCCAGAGGGCAAACCGGTCCTGAGACTGGTATCTGTAAAGATGATATAATGATATTGCACTGCAAAAGACATTTTGAGGAGCCACTTAATGAAGGACAGAAGAAAGGTGGATTACGGGGCGGCTAAGATCAACGACTGCCAGATTTAAACCACAAAGATAGATACGACAGGGTACAGCCGTTTTTGTCCAAGATTTTGGACCTCTAAACAACAAATATATCCAACTGTGATGCAGTTGACGGGAAGGCTGATTGTTCTTCTGTAAACAGGGGAAAGTCGGACTCATAATCCACTCTCTTTAAAACTCCTTATTCGGAAGGGATGTCACCTTAATCGACAGGAAGGATATGACAATGAAGTCGTAATCCTGGCCCACCTTCTTGGACCTCAGTCTAGCGAAGGAATAGACACACAGGCCTATGATGCTTCAAAGGATGAAGCAGAATATTCCTCTTTCTCCACTGAGTTACCCGTCGGCCGCCTGTAGGTATCAGGGTGGCCTTTCTGTCTCTATGTTCCTCACTCTTCTTCCCTACAGGAAGTATCCTTGATTTGGTTCCATTTCTCCAATTTCCCCCCAGGACCCAGATCCATCTGGCAGTGGGGGTGGGAGATGTGGAGGGTGGTGAGGCGGGGGGGAGGACAGCATTCAATCCTGAATGTCTGGAATTGCTAAGAGGCTTTTCATTCTTTCCCATTCATAAAGACAGGTATTTTCTTTGGTTTTGCTACTGTGATTGCTTCTTAAGGATAAACTTCCATGAGTTATTACATGAACCCCATCCTTATCTCCTTCCTCTGTTTTGCTGAAGATCCCCTTCCAAGAAAGGATACAGGAGGAAAAGATGAGGGAAGAAAGCCCCATCTTGCCCCGGAGGACACACATGGAAATCGTGGGGTGAGCCAAGTCCTGAGAAATTACTGAGAACCTGAGGATAATTTCTGATGAATTACTGAGAACCTCTGCTTTGTGTGGTCACCAGTCCAAAGCTCTCATGTCGTTAACTCTGCTCTATACTAACTAGTTCCCTGATTTGCAAGAGCTGCCCTAAATCACCTAGCCCTTGCCCTGAAATACCAAAAATATCCCTCCGTGATTTCCCTCCCCTGAGAAACCGCTAAGACTGTCAACATGGTACTCCCCTGAATTTCAGGAAGTCTAACTTAGCTTTGCTTGATTGAAAGTTTCTTCTGGTGGCCCTTTTGGGGATTGACAGAACAATTCAATAATTTTCCATAACAACAGATGTCTTGGCTCCTTGGTAATTTCTGTAGTCATGTGGTCTGTGCATAAACACTTCCTTTTTCTTTTAATGTATCTGAGGATAAGACCCAGAAATACAGCAATAGCCATGACTGAAAGGTCATGCATCTTAAAACACTAATAAAGCATTAAAGGGAAGTGTTCATCTGAGCAGTGCCCAGAGACCTGAGGGGGTGGCACTGATATTGTAATAGACGAGTTGAGATTTGGATACAGATAGGAGTGAGGTTTTGTAACCTCACCTGAGTCCCTGGGCTCTATAAGCTAAAGTTCCTCCTAGAAAAAGAGCTTATGTCATGTCAGTGCCTGGGGATCAGATACACACTGAATTGTCTGGCAAACTAGGAGTGGAAGGATGCACTAAGGGAGCCAAACTACAGAGAAGGGCACAAAAGTTCATCGTGAGATGAGAGGACATAGTGAATGAGCATCTGTGTCCAGGGTCAACAGGTATACGCAGCCCTTGGTGCTTGGACCTACCCATGCCCCGTCATCCTGGGGGCACACCACACTCTGGGAAGTATGCACAATGGAAAGAGCCCTCTCACTGGGTTTAGCAACCCCTGGGGCCCAAGAAACCCTGCTGTGGTTGTTCCCCACAGGGAGAGAAACAAAAGAATGTTTCTCTGGCCCCACCCTTGGCAGATCAGAGGGTTGAGGCACAGAAAACTGGAGCAACAGGGGCTGAGTATTGTAACCTCACAGCGCAGGGACCCACCGAGGGGGTGGGCCTGAAACATGAACATATGGAACCCCTTGCCCCACTTCCAGAGACTCCCAGAGGGCTTTGGGGCTACAGTTTTACAAGGAACCAGGATTATTTTTAGGAGCTATCCAAACAAGAACGAACGAGATTTCGGTATGAATCTTAAGGAACCCCAAGCTTGAGCCCACAGGTTGATGATGCTTGGAGAGATCCGAGTCATATGGTACAAAATCACTGATTTCCTGGAGGAGTCTTGGTGGGAGGGAGGTGGCCGGGGGGGGGCGCGCCGCCTGTGCATGCCGATGCAAGAGATGACCGAACATAACTGTTGCAATCTGGACCTCTTTGCCCACTGAATTCTTAATCTCCATAGACTGATCATTCTGGGGAAGCAAGCGGTCAAAAGCAAAAGGTGGTCTAGAATAATAGAAGCCAGTGGGACCTGGAATGAGTATAGGAACACACTTGTGGCCGAGATCCACAACCTGAAATGGCCTGTTAAGAGGGTGTTATCACCATGTAGGATTCTCTATGCCTGCACACATCCACTCCCGTGGGCTGGTCGGGACCCAGGAGGCAGAGCACTTATGACCTCTGTCTCTGTGCCTGAGCGTAGGGAAGAGGAGTTGAACACAGTCTGTGCTATCTTGCATTTACCTCTGTTGGCTCCACATACTGATGTTAATGATCTGTCCCAGGTCTTCCAGGGCAGTGCTCCTTTAAAGGGTCTGCCCTGCCGGCCTGGGAGGATGGTAGGGAAAAGGAAAAGGGCTGAGGAACCATGCCAGTGTTACTGCTCCCATGCTAACCCTCAGCCAGTTGTGTGCCTTTGAATGAGCCCATTTGTCTCCCTTAGGTATCTTCTTCGTCGACTATAGAAAAAGGAACTAATCCCTACACTCTGTGTGACACACTCTGCCCTTCTTCTATAGTTCATGGACATGTAGCAAGACACAGTGCTGACAGGCTGTCCTACCTTTCCCCACCTCCTCTGATGAAGATGTGACAAAGTTCTCAACGGTGAAGTGTGATGGGAGTGATGGGTCCAGTTCCCAGTGTGGTTTCTTGAGACCAGACCAGGAGGGGTCATAGGCTTTCCCCTTTCCACTTGCTGCAACCCAGATGAGGTACCCTCTCAAAATTAGAAGAAACAAGATGGAGGGGCATCTGGCTGGCTCTGTGGGTGGAGCACGTGACCCTTGATCTTGGGGTCTTGAGTTCAAGCCTCACGTTGACCATACAGCTTACTTTAAGAAAGAAAGAAAGAAAGAAAGAAAGAAAGAAAGAAAGAAAGAAAGAAA